TGGCTAGCACTGATAGAATCTCCTGCTAATAGGAGCCCTTTCACTATAGGCTTTTGAAACCATTTGGGATTGCTATTCTGAAGCTGGTAATCATTTGCCTATGCTCCTTGGAAGGGTAGAGGGTCTCTGGACACATCGATTCAGCCCAGAAGGCAGCCCCAGTGTGGAGGTGCATGCCCATGGAGAAACATAGATTTAACTACAAGGTTCACGAGGCGACAGTCAAACACACTTCTAATGGTGGGGCCAGCAATTGGGGGATTTTCTGATGTCATTTGTGAAGGGACCCAGCCGAAGTGTTCTTGGGAGTGAGCAAAATTTTGTGCCAAAAATTTAATTACGACAATGAGCTGCAGAACGTAGACATGTTTTTGTTGATTAGCTGAGGGCGAGTTGGGCATATTCAGAATCAGGGGACCTTCAATTTGTCAGGCAATGGCTCCCATCTGGCTGGTGCTTTTGCCAAATCCCAAATCTGGGCTCTTGTTGTGTCTAAAATTTCAGCATCTCCTTGTACCACATGTCTTTGCATTTAGATTTTTTTAAAAAAGTCAATTATTGTTATGAGTGGCCAGATGATCCCATTATCCCTAAATCTAGAGATCCACTGAGAATCACATTGACCTTTGATAAATCTTGAGGTAATGTCAATTAATCTCTGAGACAAAAGAGGGGGGGAAAAGGCTTCCTTCTTTCATCTGCAAGGCTGGGGCTTGCTGAAAAAGGGAAAAAGGAATGCAGAGTGTATAGAATGGGGAGTCGGGAAACCTTCATCTAAGTTACAGATTTAGAGCGAGTTTCTTAGAGGTCATCCAGTCAAAGGCCCCCACCCCTCACTTTTAGATAAGGAAACATAGGCCCAGGAGGAGCATGACTGACTTATCATACACTCCCAGATTTAGACCTGGAGGGGACCTTTGAGGTGGATCTAATCACAATCTCTTCATTTTATGATTGAGGAAACTGAGGCCCAGAGTAGTGAAAGTGGCTTCTGTTCATACACTTAGAGCAGAAGGGAATCTTAGAGAGAATCCAGGCTAAGCCTGCCATTTTACAGTTGGGGAAACCGAGGTTGAGAGTGGGTAAGGGTTCATGGTCGTACAGGGAGTAAGGCAAGAAGTGACAGAGCTGGGATTTGATTCCAGGTCCCCTGACTCCAAATTCAGCCTCTTTCTACCACATCTTTCTACTACCCTTGTTTGGTATAATGGATGGAGGGTTGGACTTGAGAGTCAGAAAGATCTGCATTTGAATCCTGCTTCAGATACTTATTAGCCATGTGACCCTGAGCAGGTCACCTAAGTACTCTCAGCTTCAGTTTCCTCATCTGCAAAATGGGAAAAATAAAAATACCTACCTCACAAGGGGCTTTTGTCGTTGCTGGGTTTTTGTTTTTGTTTTGTTTCATTTTTGGTGAGGATTAGATGAGATAATACATATAAGTACTTTTCATTCAGTTCAGTGGTTTTCAGTCATGTCCAACTCTCTGCGACCCACTTGGGTTGGGTTTTCTTTTTTTTTTTTTCAAAGATATTGGAGTGATTTGCCATTTCCTTCTGCAGCTCATTTTACAGATGAGGAAACTGAGGTAAACAGAGTGAAGTGACTGGCCCAAGATCACACAGCTAGTCAGTCTGTGACTAAGTCACAGTCACAGTCAGACCAGGTCTGGCTAAGTGCTACAGAAATGTGATCTCACTATGATTGCTTTGCTACTAACTGTGTGACCCAGGAGAAGTGCCTCTAGAAATATAGATTTTCTCACTGGTACAATGTGGGTTGGGAGGAAGCAGGTGAAGCCCATCACCTCAGAAGCTCCCCCAACTCTAACACCTGGGTATAGCATCCAGGGATCTGGGGCCTCCAGACCACCGGGGACCTGCTCTAGGAGGGTAATGGATAGTAGGGCCTAGGATGCCATCTTATTTACTTAGGACGGGTTGTTCCAGCTGCAGATGGTGAATGCCCCGACCTGACCAGGAGGTTCTTGGTTGGAAAACAACTCTCCAGTGGCAGGAGGCCATCTAGACCTTGGCTCCCCAGGCTGGCTGGAGTTTGTTTGCTTAGCACCTTCCCCTTTGGTTTATTTAACATTTGGATCTCAGGGCTGGTCTCCAGAGAGAGACACCTTTGCTTCTTACAAAGGTCCAGTGAGAGGGAAAGGGTCACAGAGAGGTACCAGGACGGATGGCATCTCTACCATTCAGAACAATATATCTCAAGGCTAAATACTAAGCAAGATGGGCCACATTGGCGGGGTGTGATTCCCACTCCCATTAGACTAACAGGGGGGAAGACAAAGAACTTAGTATTTACTCGTGTGTGTGTATGTATGTGTGTGTGTGTGTGTGTGTGTGTGTGTGTTGTAGATGTCTTATTTAACAAGAGGGGATGTTTGTGTGTACTTTAATGTTTTTCCACCTTGGGGGACTGGAGTCCTAGCACTCCTTTCCTTCACTGGTTTGGCTCTAAAAATTTTTTAAATTAGTGAACTGGGTCAAATGAAGGACATATTAGATGTATATGCTGGCTAAAAATGCATACTAATACACTAGTGTCAAGTAACAAGTATATTTAGAAATCAACAGAGCTTTTCTCCCTTTCCCTCTTTTCACATCTCTCCTTCCCTTTCCTGCCAGTTTGATGCTTTGGGGGGATAAGTTCATGGCATTTTGCTCTGAGGAATTTCAGGTATGGAAATCTCCTTCACCAATGTAGTTTGGCTACTCTCTGCAATGTAAGATCATAGTATTTAGAGCTAGAAGGGGCCTTTAAGAAAACCCCCTCCTTTCACAAATGAGGAAGCTGATGCCTGGAGAGATAAAGTAACTTACCCAGCCTCAACCAGCTGCCAAGTGGCATAGTCAGGATGTGAACCCAGGTCTTTGGATGTCAATTCTGACACTCTGGACCATGCAATACTTTTGTCAGTAACCTATAACTTGGTCCTTTTGGGCATCTCCTGATACACAATCTCCTACCAATGCAAATGGTAACACAGAGTATGGGAGGCTGCCTACAGCACCAAAGTAGTTAGTTTGGGGTCACACTGATGGGTGCCAGAGTTGGGATTTGAACCCAGCTCTTCCTAATTTCAAGGTCAGCCCTCTAGCTACTATACCACATTGTCTCACATGACATTCATGCCCTAGAAAAATCTGTGAGGACTCATATTAGTGGAAACTCAATAAGTTTTTCATTTAATAGATGAAGAATCTGAGACCTAGAGAGATGATGTGACTTCTCATCTTGTAGATGTATTCCACATAAAAACTGGTCTATTTATGCTAGCCTAATTGCCTTGATCTAAGTTCACGCACATCACGAAGCCTGCTGGAGTGATGTGGGGTGCCCTCATGCTCTCTTCCCCATATTTTCCACCTTTCCCATCACTCTTCTGGGGACCTTCTTTCTTTCTTTCTTTCTTTCTTTCTTTCTTTCTTTCTTTCTTTCTTTCTTTCTTTCTTTCTTTCTTTTTTTGTAAAGTGGTTCCCACGAAAGGCACATGTAAAAAAAAAATCAAGAAAGAAAAAAATATGAAGATAGACTGAGATTTGACCTGGGTTGGGGTGGGGTATCAAAATACAGAAGCCCTGAGTTCACAGAAGCATAGAACCTCTAAATTGTATGGGTTGGCCTCAATGGGCTCTGAGATCCCTCCCAACTCTGAGGTTCAAGGATTTGATGATCTCGTGAAAGACAACTCCCAAGATGGTGGAGTCTAAGCGTTCTGTACAGGAATCACCAGTCAATGGTCATCCTGACTTTGCCTGAAGACCTCACATGAGAGGGGATGTCCCTGCTTCCTGCCCAGCTCCCTGCATGAGGAAGCTTCTTTTTACTGGCCAGTAAGCCTGGCCTTCTTTATCGTCTTACTTTGCTCCTACTTCTGCTGTCTAGGGGAGGGGCCAAGCAGAAGAAAAGAATTCCTGCCTTTAACATTTTCTCCCTTTGTGACCTTGGGCAAATAGACTCCTCTCTCTAGGTTCTCATTTCCTTCTATCTCCAACTTGGGTATGAGATAAGGGCATGTGTAAGAGCCCTCCCAGCTCAAAATCATTTGAAATCACATCAGTCCGTTTCCTTTGGCAATCCCCATTTTAACCAAAGAAAAACTGTGACTATTCACTGTAAGCAAAAGGTGGGGGGGAAGAAAATCCCAAACAAGTACCAGTGACTCAATCCTGCCTGTGATCTCATCCCAGTGTTTGACTGGTGAATCGATCTGAAACCATGTGGTTTCTTTCTGTCAGACTGAGGCCACGTTCTGTAGGAGTCTTTTCTGAAGCTCCCCTTCTCACAAGTGATAATATTTCTCCCTCCTCAAATTAGTTTGTATTAACTACAGTTCTTACATAGTGTGAATGATATATACATATACTATGCATGTGTGCGTGTATATATATATAAGATATATAAGATATATATAGAGAGAGATATATATCTGCATATCTATATCTATATCTATATCTATATCTATATCTATATCTATATCTATATCTATATCTATATCTATATCTATATCTATATCTATATATATATATATATATATCTCTGCCTATCTATTGTTTCTTCCCTGTAGAATGTAAGCTCCCCGAAAGCAAGGACTATTTATATTCCTTGCCTTTCTATTCCCAGTGCCTAGCATAGTATAGTTTACAAATAGTAGGCACTTAATATTTATTGAATTGAATTGGTTATCTTTTTTAAAGCATCATCTAGATCTGCTCTCCTATCTGAATAAGACATCTGCCAGTACATCTGGCAAGAGGCGAAAACGGCACGCGCCCTCTGATTTTGCCAGATCCCACTTCAATGACTCCCTGGAAAGGAGTCGAGGGGAGCAGCTACGGATTAAAGACCTCAGAGATGGCACCTATGTTTTTGCTGGCGTCCCAATGTGCCATATTTGTGCTTAGGTCAACCAGTGCCTGTGGGTTCCCCGGTGCCCAGTGTACACAGGGCCTTTGTATGGCGGCAGGAGAGCCAGGGGCCCGCACCTGAAGCTGCATGTTTGTCTGGGTGAGTTCTTCCGCTTTTTTTTCCAATGACATCACCCAGACCTTCCTCTTCTGTCTACAGCGGGTGGCAGCAGCCCGGTTCCTTTCCAGAAACTTCCTCCGCCTCTCGTCTGGGTCCTCGTCCACCACCCTTCGCCGACGCCCCCCAGCTGGCTGGGGCGGCTGTATCGTCTGGGTGGGCTGCATCTGCTGTGTCGCTGGTGAAACCTGCCCAGGGTTGGAGAAGGGAAGGGAGAAGGATGAGCAACCGAGCCCGAGCTGGGGAGCAGAGGCAGGGGACAGGGGTCTGATGCCTCAGTTGATCAAACGATCTCTTCCGGGAGTTTGAGAAAACAGACTAAAATACAAGTGGCAACCTCGGGATCTCTGGCCCCATTCAAGGCTCAGACCAAATGCTGCCCAATTTCCCTCATTGCTCCTGCTCCTCTTCCCCAACCACTTTGCGTTTACTCCACATACATTTCATATTCACTTACACCTTATTCTCCTCCGGCAAAATGTAAGCTACTTGAAGGTGGAATCTATTTTCATTTTGGTCTTCATATGCACAGCTTCTGAGATTCTGGCCCAGAGCAGGCCTTTAACAAATGTTTGTGGTCTTGAACGGAAATGGCATCATTCTTTTGAACTCATCACCTGAGTCTGTTCTCCTATCTTTACCAAATAGCTGACAGATTTCCTGGTAACCAATCACTCACTCAATCAGCATTAATTAAGCACCCACTGTATGCTGGGCTCTGTGCTAGACACCTACAGATAGGAAACATTCCTTGCTCCTGAGGAGGTAACATGTGAGTGAGGGAGACAAAAGACACACACACAGAAAAGGACTGGGTAAACTTTTTTTTTTTGTGGGGGAGAGGAAAGATAGGAGAATGGTGGCAATTCAGTGACTTTGCCAGATCTGACTTCAGGGGGAAAATACTGTCTCCGGAGTCAGAGGACTTGGGTTCGAATTTTGCCTCTGATGCTTCCTTAGGTGTATGACTTTTTGGGGAAATCACGACATCTCCCTGGGCCTCAGTTTCTTCCTATGTAAAATGAGGGGGTCAGAGCAGATGGCCTGTGAGATTCCTCCCAGCTCTCCATCTAGGGTCCTATAACCACTGTAGAGGCTCTAGGGAATGCTCTTCTGATGCCTTCTAACCTCCCAAGGCACTCAGAAAATTCCACCCTGATGCCTTTCCCCCAACAGGGGTGATTGAAAATGTTTCATTTAAGTTGAAATGGAAAACAAATAAACAATGTGGTAAAAAAAAAAAAAGGAGAGAGAGAGGTCAGGTTTGTGGCCTGAACTTTGATGACAGATCTCGGCCATCTGGAAGAGTTCTCCTAGCAGCGGTCAGTCTGCCGCTTCCCTAAGACTCACATTGGAGAATTGATCCCAGAGTGACAGAACCCAAGATGAGTCTGGAACAGCCTTCACTGCCTCACAGGTCTGAGCACAAGGAGGCAGGTGGTCTCTGGAAAGACACTGGCACCCATCCAGCCTTCGAGCCCCTTACTTAGCATCCCTAACACCTAGATATTGTTTCAGGGTTTGCAAAGCACCATAAGCTCTGCTGAAATGTTGGCAAAATGCTTTACATAAATTCTCTGCCCCCAGCTTCACCCTACAGTGACTGGAAGACCTTCCTGCAGGAGGAATGGAGTTCACTGTCTCTAAAAACAATCTGGGAATAAATGAGAAGCATTAGGGTGCAGAAAAAAGAGAGCCGGAGCTTCAAAGTTGGGAGAGACACAGGTTCAGATCCCGTCTCCAGCTGTGTGGCTCAGGGAAAGCGCCTTCCCATGTCTGATCCTCAGTTTTCTCACTTGTAAAATGGGCTAATAACGCATCTGCCTCATATATTCATTGTGAGAATCGAATGAAATGAATTCGACAGTGACAACAGCAAAAGGCCAGGGGGCATTGCTGCGCTGCTGGATTCCGTTTGTGTGAGATGTTCGCGGTCTCAGGGAGTCAGATGCGCCACAGCCCATGGCGTCACTGGGTCCCTGGTGTCTCCCAAGCCTGTTCTGACTGTGCTTGACCAGGTCTCCTCAAGGCTCAGGGACATTTCAAAGTCCAGCCATCTCCTCCATTGCTGCCTTTGCCTTCCTTCCCCACCCAGATACACGGCACCTCGAGAGACCCTCAGGTCTGTTCCCGTGGGCTTGGACACCTGGCCCCTCCCCCCATGCTCCTCTTTTTTTCATTCATAGGAAAAACAAGTTCGTTTCTCAGTCACCCGGATTTACCGCTGTAATCTCCATGAAGATGTTTTACTAGAGACTCTTTGCCTGTGTGAGTACTTGGCTGAAAGTGTAAGAAATGGAACCCAACAGCCTGCCTCTCCAATATTCCCTGGCACAGAATCAGCATTTAGTATGTGTTTGTTGACTGACTGACTGACTGATGAGGACTCATCGGCATGGCTAGAGTCGTCATCCTAATGGCTATCAGTTGACATCGTGAGGGATGGCAGATGGGCGGAGATACAGTTTGACCCCAAACTCTATCAGACTCTGTGGATTTCTGTGCCATTAGTCTCTGGGTTGTGTTTGTGTCTGTGTGTGAGCTGACTTTTATATAATACAAGAGTTCCTCAAAGCCACTTATTGGTGACTTCATAACACCCACTAGCCTCCTAATGCACATTAGTGAGAAAACAGATGAACCGTCTAAAGCCTTGGTCCCTCTAGGGACCATCGAGGTAACCAGCCCTGTTATTGGGAAAGACTGAGTGGTTGTCACTTCAGAGGCCTAGCACCGGAGCCAAACCACCCACTCCAAGGCAAAACATCTCTGCAGAGAACATGCTGAACTGCCCGTCTATTTTTGCTTTTATCCAAATCCTTTTCCTGTGTGAAATAAATCATGAGCTCATATTCATATTCGGGGGACCAGGCTTAGCAAAAGGGTGAGGTTGGCAAAGTGGATTTTCGGTTCCCCTCCATCGGCCTTTCAGGGCCTCCCTTCCAGGACCTTCCACCAGTCCTTCATCTCTCGAGGTGGTCAGTCCCCCTTCTTCCCCCTCCTCCGTCCCCCTCTCCTACCCCTCAATGCTTTAAGCTGAAGATGTGAGTTATGTTAGAATGTCAGACCTAGGGCAGGGCCAGTAGAGAGGTGGTATTCAACAGGGGGAGCCCTCCCCTTGTTCCTGCTTTTGTAAAGTCTCCTGTGCTGCCCTGGAAGACAAGCAGACAAGCCAAGCCTTGGGGATGGCCAGTATGAGTGTTACAGGAACAGATCTGTATGTCAGAGGGTCGGCTCCTAATCCGGGCTTTGCCCTCACAGCCTTGTGACCTTGGGCAAATCACTACTCTCTGTAGAATGGAGACTGGACTAGAGCATCTCAGAGGTCGCTTCCAGGCTGAATCTGAAGATCCTTCTCCTTTAGCCAGGAGAGATTACAAATACAAAGCCAAGACAGGTCTTTGTATTCCCATCAGTCTGTGCTCTCTGCTACTGAATTATCTAAGATTTTGATCCTTTTCAAACTTTTAAAAATCAGAATCATGAAATTAATCTTCACAAAAGTTTAATTTAATTTATCTCGACAAACACTGAGTCCTATTTTGTAGGTTGAAAGTATTAGGTCATTTTCAGGCAGGTATTTCTAATATTTTATATATGTATCATGGATCCCTGGCAATCCCAACCTTATGGATATCTTCTCAACATTTTAAAATAAATTTTAAAATAACATGTTTAAATAATGGAAAGGAGTATTAAATTTAAGTTTAAGGTTCTGAGGTCATTAATCCCACTTATGACCTTTTTTTTTGCACCACACCCAGACCTTGCCCCATTATTTTATCTCTAATAGCTTCACTATCTCCTTCTCTACTGGCTCCCTCCCTTCCATCTAGAAGCAAGTCGAAGCCTCCTGAATCCTAAAAGCAAATCCCTGCCATCAACCTTACCACCGTCTCATGCTATCATTCAGTATCTCATCTTGCTTTCCTTGTTAAAATTCTAGAAAGTGCCTCCATTTTCTCACCACCCACTTGCTCCTCAGCCTCCCAAGCTTATCATTTGAGTGGTTATATGAAGGATGGAGAAGGGGAAGACTGGAGGTTAGTACAGGGATATTGCTGCAAGAGATATTGTGAAGCTTACAGCAGAATGACTTTGCAATTCTCAGCACAGTGCCTGCCACATAGGAGTCACCATGTGTATTAAATGTTTATGGGATTTAATTGGATAAGGATGGAGAAAGATTGAAGGAAAAGGAAGAAAGATAAGATTTTGACATTGAAATTTTGAGGTTGGGGGATAGAGAGGATAGTGATGCCAATAATAGAAAAAGGGAAGTTGGGAGGAAAGGGATGTTTATGGGGGAGATAACAAGACTAATTTTGGATATGTTGAACCTGAGTTGCTAGGGAAGAGACATCTTGTAGACAGTTGGAACAATGTGACTGTAATTCAGGGGGAGAGACTGAGGTAGATACACAGATTTCAATCAATCAACAAGTGTTTAGGAAGGATTTACTATGTGCCAGGCTGTCTTCTAGGCACTGGGCATGCAAATCAAATAGTCCCGATTCTTATGACAAATCATATTGGGAGTCATCTGCCTAGAGGTGATAATTGAAGTCATAAGAAAAAAGAAAGAAGAAAGTTCAGGACACCTTACTGAGGAACACTCATCTTTCATAGTCAGAGGAAGAAAGACGAACTATCAGATACTGAGAAACAACAGTCATACCAAATCATGGAAGCCTTGGGAGAGCTGATTATCCAAATGGAGGGAGTAGTTAATAGCATTAAATCCAAATGGTAAAAAAAAAAATGAGGAAAGAGGAAAATATCACCTTGATAGGGCACTTACAAGGCTGCTGGTGAGAAAGAAGTTTCAGCAGGGAGGTAAGGACAGAAGTCAAATTATAGGAAGTTGAAGAGATGGGAGGTAAGGAAGAGTGGTCTTGGATTGTAATCTATTCTTTCTAGAAACTGAAGAGTGAAGGAGAATAGATATAGAATGATAGCTTCGGGGGATGTCAGAGGGGAAGAGAAGAGGTTTTATTACTTTGTAGGATGAGAAATCTTAACACATTCACAGGCAGAGTGGAAGGAGAAGAGAGTGGCTGAAGACTCGAGAGTTCTCGAATCAATGACACTAAGAACTGCATGAGAGGAGAAAGAATGGGACCAGGGATTCAAGTAGGAGCGTTGCTTGGCTAAGACATTGACTGGAGGGAAGGAAGAGTGGATAAGTAAAGACATACCAGAAAGAGTCTGAGGTATGGAGGAGAGGTGAGAGGGAGCTCAGGACAAGTAACTCCAATCTTATGTTAAATATGGAAGGAAAAGTTTTCTTCTGAGTGAAAGGGACAGATATGGAAAGATTTGGAAGAACCATTGCCTGACTTTGATAAGGAATCATCAGAGTTGGGGATCTCATTGCCAAGTCCAGTTCATGGGATCATAGATTTAAAGGTCATTGAGAATAACCCCTTTAGGTCACATATGTAGAAAGTGAGGCTCAGAGAGGTTATCTGAGGTGCCCAGTGTCACACAGGGAAGACGCTGAAGAAATAGGGATTTGAACCTGGGTCTTCTCCCTCCAGATCCAGTGCTCTCTCCTCTCTATCCCTCAGAGATCTTATGGCTTTATCTAATCCAGGCCCTTGACTCCTGGGGAACCCCAACCTCTGTCTGTTTGGGTTCAGAAATCAATGAAATCAGTTGCCATGAGATGATCTGAAATTTCCCAGTGGTATCTAGGGACGTGGTCCAAGTGGTTCTCTTGGTCAGATCTTCACAGGATCCTGACCTCAACTCTTTCTGGGACTATGTAAGTAGGAAAAAATGCTTCATGCAACTAATTAGATTGGCAATTAACTAATTGCATTTACAATTGGCCACTTACTGTCTTGAGACTGAAATGGAAGGCAATTGACTAATGGCTAATGAGCTAATGAGTGAATGAGTGTCTTTTAAGATGAGAAGGACTGCTGAACTTGTTTGTGGAGTAACTCACCACTGAAGGCTAAGAACCTAACATTCTTCTTTTATCTAGAGAGGAGATAAATAAATGCACACTTGCCTTCTCAGCTATTCTCTTATTACTCTCCTTGCCTCAAGTCTTCACTTGGGAACCAGGGCTGGAAATCTGGTGCCATCTTTGACCTAGAACCTGGCTTCCCCTCCCACTCTTGATGAAGTTGGTCCCATGTCCCACATTTTTGTAAAGGGCCCTTTATTGAAAGGGTCTAGTATTTTGTTCATGGTGATGCTTCCTGAGGCATTGTCAAACCACTCTATGTCATTATCCAGAAAAATGTCAGCTCCTTGAGAGCTTGCTTCAATCAATCAATGGACCCATGAATGACAACTTGTAAGTGGTTGCTCTGTGCTGGGCAGAGTGCTTTGTTGTTCAGTCATTTTCAGTCATATCTAATTCTTTGTGACCCCATTTGGGTGGTTTGCCATTGCCTTCTCCAGATCATTTTACAGATGAGGAGACTGAGGCAAACAAGGTTAAGTGACTTGATAGGAAGTGTCTGAGGCCAGCTTTGAACTCAGGTATTCCTGACTTTAGGCCCAGTGCTCTATTAACTGTACCAGATAATTGTTCCTAGCTACATCCCAGACCCTAGCCCAGTGCCTGGCATTCAGGTGACACCTGATCAATGCTTCTGGAATTTGGACTGGAGTACAGTTCAGAATGGCTCACCATGCAGAGCTCCCTCCCTCTTTCCATGATGACTTCATGTCTTCCTTATTTTCCCATTATCCGCTCACGGGGAAGCTAAACTTTGACTTCCTTCCCTACTATCTACTTCCATCCTACAACTGGGCTTTGGACTTTATAGGAACATAGGATATAGACCTAGAACATCTATGATCACAGATGTAGAACTAGAAGTGACCTCAGATGCAATCTAGCTCCCAGTCCATCTCCATTTTACAAATGAGAAAATGAAGACCCAGGGATGGTAACTAACTTGCCCAGGGTCACATCGATAATAGGAGTCAGCGGTTGGATTTGAACTCAGATCTTCTTATGCCAGAATCAGGGCTGTTGCCATCATCTAGGGGGCAGGCCCTTGGGTTACAGAGGAAAAAAATTCACTTAAATTGGTCCTTTACAGTCCTAGGATCTTTCTCCTCCTTCTCCCATGTTAAACCCAAATGGTAGAAAAATCTAAGCGAGTTCTCCCTTGACCCAGAGCATATCTGGTTCCCAACATTATAATTCATTTCAATTTCACAAGTGACCCAAATAAGCTCCCAAGGTATTAAGTCAGTTGTTGGCTGGTATCTAGTTACCGGCACACCTGGTAAAACCAGAATTCATATTCTCCAAGTTTCTGGTTCCTAGTCATAGACTCACCCATTTGGAGTTGGAATGGAACTCAGTGGCCATTTATTCCAGCCCTTTCATTTTATAAATGAGGAAACTGAGGCTCACAGAGGTCGTTACTTGTGCAAGGTCATATAGGCAAGATGTCACAGAGCTGAGATTCAAACCCAGCTCATAGGACCATAGATTCAAAATGGAGGGGGCAGGCAAAGTTAACAAGGGAAGTCTGCTAATTTTACAGGTGAGGAAACTGAGGCTGAGAAGTGAACAGAGGTCACATAGGTAGTGGAGCTGGAATTCAAACCCAGAACCTCTGATTCCAGTCTAATGCTCCTTCCACAGCCCCACCCTGCCTAGGTGCCCTTACTATTCTTTATGGGGCACCCTCTTTCTCTTTGTATTTGAATTTTGTTACAGATTGGAGGCCAGCCTTGATTTCTGACAGTTGTGGCTGTATTTGCCCCCCAGCCCTGGGGTCTGAATCTAAAATTATTCACCACTTGCTAATGTCCAGAAACAATGCAATTATGGGATTGAAGTACCTACGTCCTCCAAGAAAGCTATCTCAATGGGCCAGTGCCAGAGGGGGCTGGAGACGGGAGCTGCTGCTGCTGGCTTTAACAACTGCTTTGCTAATGAAAAGTGGAGAGCCCTCCGGGTGTCTCACTCAACTTACCTGTGCTTGGCCGCCCGTGTGCAGGGGAGGGTGTGGCGAGGTCTGGTGGTGTGCCGGGTGTGCATGGAGGTGGGAGTGATGATGCGGGTGGTTCTGCTGGTGATGGGCTTGCGGATGAGGGTGGTGGGCAGGGTGCTGATGCTGGTGCTGGTGTGGGTACGGGTGATGGGGTGGCAGCGTCTGGTGCTGATGCGGGTGTGAGTGCAGGTGATGGTGCGGTGCCTGGTCCTGGCGAGAGCCCATCATTTCCATCATATGTCCCATGCTGTTCATGTTTCCATTGGACATGGCCGCAGGGTGGTGAGTCAGAGCTGCCTTCAGCCTCTAGAACAAAGCAAGCAGAGAGGGAAACTGAGACCAGTAATGGAAATCGGGGCAGGTGAGTCTATGTGACTTCAGTTCTATTTAATTCAATAAGCATTTAGTAAACACCTTCTGGATGCCAGGCGCTGTGCTAAGCAGCTAGGTGTTGGGGATAGAAATAACATAAAAAATGAAATAGTGCCTTCCCTCAAGAAGCTTACATTCTAACAGGGGAGGGGGAAAGAGGGAGGTAGAGAAAACATGTATGCAGTTAAGGAAATACAAAATCCATACAACACTGTGAGAGACGGGGAATCAAAATGACTTATATTGACAATGGATGACAACAATAATAGTTGGCATTTTTGTAGTACTTCAAGGCTTTACATTCATTATCTTATTTGAGCTTCACAGAAACCCTTTGAGGATGGTATCGCAGATGTTATCATACCCATTTTACAGATGAGGAACCTAATGCCCGGAGAACTGAAATGATGTTTGTGACTACCCAGCTAGTGTCATAAGTGGGATTCAGACCTTTCTGACATCAATTCCAACACTTTAGCCTCAGTTTATATTTTAAGGGTCTTCACAACCTGTTCCCAGCCTACCTTTTCAGCCCTGATGGACTTTGCTTGCCTTCCCACACTCTGTGATCCAGACACACTGGCCTTCTCTCTGTTCTTCTCTCATGCCCATTTTCTCTCCCTGTGCCTTTGCACTGGCCATCCCCAATGTCCAGAATACAGACCTTCCTTTCCTCTGCCTGAAAGAATCCTTCTCTTCCTTTAGGATGCAGCCTTCCCTCATCCCCCACAACTGCTAGTGTCCTCCTCCTAAACTGCATACTTCAATTTTATTGTGCTTTGCAGATATTGTGTTTTTTTTACAAATTGAAGGTTTGTGGCAACCCTGCGTTGAGCAAGTCAACTGGCACTATTTTTCTTTTCTTTTCTTCTTCTTCTTCTTCTTCTTCTTCTTCTTCTTCTTCTTCTTCTTCTTCTTCTTCTTCTTCTTCTTCTTCTTCTTCTTCTTCTTCTTCTTCTTCGGCAATTGGGGTTAAGTGACTTGCCTACAGTCACACAGCTAGTAAGTGTCAAGGGTTTGGTCTGAGGCATTTGCACTCAGGTCTTCCTGACTTCAGGGCCAGTGCTCTATCCACTGTGCCACCTAGCTGCCCCCAATTGGCACCATTTTTCTAACAGCACGTGCTCACCTTATGTCTCTGTGTCACATTTTGGTGATTCTCACGATATCTCAAATGTTTTCATCATTATTAGATCTGTCACAGCAATCTGGGATCTCAGATCCTTGATGTTACTATTGTCATTATTCTAGGGTGACATGAACAGCACCCATATAAGACGGCAAACTTAGTCACCAAATGCAGTGTGTTCTGACTGCTCCACCAAACATCGCTCCCCATGTCTCTTTCCCTCCCCTCTGAGCTCCCTATTCCCTGAGACACAATATTGAAATCAGGCCAGTTAATAACCCTCTGAGCGTTCAAGTGAGAGGTAGAGTCAATCAATGAGGCAAACTTCATTGTTTATTTATTTTATGAAATTGCCACAGCCATCCCAGCCTTCAGCAAAACCACTCTGATCAGTCAGCAGCCATCAACTTCGAGGTAAGACCCTCTACCCTCACAAAGATTACAACTCACTGAAAGCTCAGATGGTGGTTAGCGTTTTTTTAGCAATAAAGTATTTTAAATTAAGGTATGTACGTTATGTTTTTTTTAGATATACTACTATTGCCCACTTAATAGACTACTGTGTAACGTATATGTAACTTTCATAGGCACTGGGAAACCAAAAATTTCATATGTTATGCTTCATTGAGATATTTGCTTTATTGAAGTCATCTGGAACTGAACAGGTAATGTCTTCAAGAAAGGGAAGGAAGGAGGGTGGGGAGGAGAGAGAGAGAAATGGAGAGAGGGAGAGAGAGAGAGGAAAGAGAGAGAGAGAGAGAGAGAGAGAGAGAGAGAGAGAGAGAGACAGAGAGAGAGAGAGACAGAGACAGAGACAGAGAGAGAGAGAGAGACAGAGAGAGAGAGAGACAGAGACAGAGAGAGAGAGAGAGAGAGACAGAGAGAGAGAGAGACAGAGACAGAGACAGAGACAGAGAGAGAGACAGAGAGAGACAGAGAGACAGAGAGACAGAGAGAGACAGAGACAGAGACAGAGACAGAGAGACAGAGAGAGAGAGAGAGAGAGAACACCTGAGATGCAATCTAGTCCCCATTCCATCCCCATTTTACAGATGAGAAACCCAAGACCCAGGGATGGTAACTGACTTGCCCGAGGTCACAATGATAATATGCATCAGAGGTGGGATACACACACACACACACACACACACACACACACACACACACACACACACACACACACACATACTTGTGTCCCCTGTTAGAATTTAAGCTCATGGCAAGCAGGGATTGTTTCATTCTTTGTACGTGTATCTCTGGTGAGCCCGGCACCATGGTTAATAAATACCTGCAGATTGATTAATTATACCACAAATTAAAAACCAAAACAATTTTGGAATGGGGGTGGTGGTAGTATTAGTGGATGACTTGCCCAAGAGCACGATCCAACAGCACAGGCATTACAGCTGATAAATTTAGATCTAGAAAGGCATTTAGAGACCAGAGAGTCCAGCTGCTTTGTTTTACAGCTGAGGAAACTGAGCATCAGGGAGCTTAAATGAGGCTGCTGAGTAGTGCAGTAGATAGGGTGGATAGAGTCAGGAAGACCTGAGCTCCAATCTGGCCTCAGACACTTCCTAGCTGTGTGACCCTGGGCAAGTCACTTAACCTCTGTCTGCCTCGGTCCCCTCATCTATAAAATGTGGATAATCATACGCTCCCCAGGGCTGCCATAAAGATAAAATGAGATAGTATTTGTAAAGCATTTTGTAAACCTTAAAATACTATAGAAGTGCTAACAATGATTATAATTGCTAGTATTATTACAACGATGATGATATATTCATAGCTTGCAAGAAGCTCACCTCCCTTCAATGGTTATCAAATTGGTTCAGGTGAAGAGGCCCTTATGGTAATACCATTTTGCATCACACAAAAGATTTCCTTGACTTTGGGAGGGAATGAGCAGGAAGAAAGTAGAATAATGCAGAAAGTGGTATGTCTTGTTTAGAACGGGTGGGAAGCATTAACAATATTGGGCCCCAGAAAGTTCCCAGGCACATCTGAAACATTGAATGGCTCTTGATTAAAAAATAAAGTCTGTCATGAAGAATTACTCAATGATTGGCCCAGGCCAGATTCCTCAAAATGGTTATTATTGTAATAACCCATTATCCTCACAGACCAGAACAATGTCCTGGGTCCTCCATCATCAAATAGCTTCTCCTTTGGAAACAGGTCATGCATGAAGAAGTATGTCTCATTGTAGGATCGCCCTAGGTACACAAAGTCTTTACTGAGGCAAGGAGGTAGGGTGGGGGTGAGGGGGTTAGGGAATAGAATCCTGAACTTGAAGTCAGGAATGCCTGAGTTCAACTCTTACCTCAGATACTTACTAGCTATGTAACCCTGGACAAGTTATCCCCATCTATAAAATGGGGATAATAATAACACCTAACTCTCAGGGTTGTGGTGAGGATGAAATGAGGTCTTCATTTGATATGAGATACACAGGGGACTTTGCAAATCTTAAAATTCTGTGTATTGCCTAATATTACTCCTAAAGGACCTTGAGTTCTCTTTGTGGATTTGCATTCATAGCTGGTCACAGAATACAGTAAATGCTAATTATGCAGATGGAATAGCTCCAAGAAAACTGGAGTTTTCTGTTACAAAGTTTTCTAGCCAGTGTAGAATTCCCAGGTTGCCATGGCCAACAAATCCATCCCATGTTGGCCGCCATATTAGAGATGAGCTGCTTTGGATCTAGCTAGATTGGTAGTCAGAGCACATACTCCGACTGTTCCTGGGACTATCCTGAAAACATTTTCTGCCAGGATCTGTCAGAGCTTATTCCTTGGTGGTGCAATCTTTGGGAATCCAGAGCAACCTCAATGCTATTTCTATGCTCATGAAGAGGCACTGGAATAATATTTAGAATAAAATTTCAGTTAAGTAGACCCCATCTAATCAGAACTCTCAATTAACCAGACTTTTAAAAACCACAACACTTTTATATTTCTGCTGATGTATTAAAATAGAATATAAGCTCATGGAAGTTAATTTGTTTTGCTCATGCCCATTCTTTTCCTCCTTGTCTTTATATGCTCAACGCCAAGCATAGCGTCCAGAACACAGCAGGTGCTTATTGTGTGCATTGCATGGAAATGAACTGGTGTGGGTCCATCTTCCAGAGCTGCTTCAGCTCAGGCCTTTGAGCACAGCCTCTCAGAGGAGAGCTGGACTTATTTCCTACCACACATGTAGCTTGATAGATCCATTAACACCACTGTAGGCACGGGGAGCAGCTTCTACCAAGGTAGGGATGGATCGCCAGCTTCAGGGAATGGGGAGTACCTGAAGGAATGGGGGATATAAAAAAAGGCTGGGAAGGGAGGTCAGAGCCAGGCAATGAAGGCCTTAACAAAAAGGGACATTTTTCCTCAGAGGCAATAGGGAGCCAGATTCTTGACCAGGGGAATATTATGGTCAGATTTGGGCTTTAGGAAAATTATGTTGGCATCTTTATAGACTGGAGACATGAGAGACTAGAAGCAGGGAGGCCATTATTTTGGAAAAATAAAAGCAAGGAAAGTCAAATAGAAGCAAGGAGAATACAAAGTAGGATTTTGTTTTGTTTTATTTTTAAATCTTCTTCTTGGTCACACAACTAATAAGTGTCTGAATTCAGGTCTTCCTGACTCTAGGCCCAGTGGTCTATCCATCAAGCCACCTAGCTGCACCTACATTTTCTGTACTTGTATCTTCAGTGGCTAGCAAAATGCTTGGCACACAGCAGGCACTGTTGAAAGCTTAAAAAAACTCTTCTTCCTGAAGAGGGATACGTCAGAATCCAGAAAGATAT